GCTGTAAACATAATGAAATTTCACTATAGTCTAGCTTTATGAATAAAGTGGTATTTTAAAAAGTATTCATCCAACTTGCTCAACAAGGGAAAATGCCAGAAATGTTGAACAGGAAAAATTGAGTTATTGTAATATCAAACAAAATCTGATTTTATAAACAAGGCAGACACATTCTAAAACTGGGCAATGTCCTCATCACAACTTCTATTTTAGGTAAATTAGTGTGGAACGTGTAAATAAACCAGGAACTAAAGGCCCCAGCATCGGAAAGGAGTTAACTGCACAGCTTTGACTATGAAGTGAGAAAAGCAGTAAGAAGCTTCTTGTGGACAGACTACAACGTTGGAGTAAGGGTTCTACTGCTGCATTAAAACACCATGATCTTGTTGTTATTGTTGTTGCTGTGACTGGTATGTACTCACTCATAAATGGATTTTAGGCAATCTATGGGTAGTATTTATCCCTGTTGAGGGGGTTGGGGGGAGAGGGGACGGAGAGGGAACTGGGATTGGCATGTGAAGCAAGCTTGTTTCTAACCTAAATAAAAAGAAAAATAGAAAAAACAAAACAAAACACCATGATCAAAAGGGGAGGAAAGGGCTTATAACTTTTGGGTCACACTCCTCAGTGGAGCAGGAACTCACAGCAGGACCCAGGAGACAGGAACTGAAGAGGAGGCCATGAAAGAGAACTGCTTACGAGCTTGCTCAGTCTACTTCCTTTTACAACCCAGAATGACCCACCAAGGGGTGGCACTGGTCACAGTGAGCCAGACCTCCTCCCTCAAGTCACTGAAGAAAGTGCCTTACAGAACTGATTGCTACAGGAAATCCGATGGAGGCATCTTTCAACTGAGGTTCCTCTTCCCAGCTAAATCTAACTTGTAACAAGCTGACAAAAAAACAACCAAAAAGGACAAAGGTGGATTGTCAAAATGAACAATAGAGGATGTATCAGGGTGGGGATGATGATGAAGATTGTAACTATGACAACCAGAATAAATGAAAAGTATTTACCGTCCCTTTAAATTCCAGATTATAAATCTAGACATTTGAGAAGTATTCATTCACTTAACTGTCACAATAATCCCATAAAGAAAATTTACCTTCATTTTAGGTGTAACAGCATTCAGACTAAGCAACCTGCCCAAAGCTACACAGTTATGAAACAGTGAAATGGCAATGAAGAGAAATGGCAGATTGGTAAGAGCATGGCCAGAGGACAGCTATCTTAAGCTGCCTTGGGTACAACGCTGAGCTCTGTGTACAGAGTCCGCTTCATACCCCTCTTAGCCTATCAGAAAGGAATGGGGCAAAAGGAAATAGAGCAGGAGGCAGAAGGAAACTGCAAGGAACTATTAACAGAAAACAAATCATGCAGTAATGCAAAATTCCTTATTAAAAAACACAAGGAACCAGAATTGCCTGAGGTCATTTATAATGAGATCACCACTTCTTAGAAAAGGCAAAAAGAGCACTTACTTAACTAAATGTTTTTATAAATAAACAAGTTTTTAATAAATTTAACTTTTAACCGAAAACTATGTGAGAACAAAATTTAGCACTTTACCAGCTAGTAAGTTTACCTAAATTTTTTCTATGCCCTTTGTCTTTTTAATCATTTATAGGAATATTAAACAATACATATGCTGGGCCTGCCCCTGGGAGACTACAACTAACATTTTACATTCCTTCAACTGAATATATAGCTATTAATTTCTAACTACTTGCTACATATCCAAATGAAGGTTAGCTTCTTATTTTTATGACCAAGGCACAAAGTTTATTAAAAACCATATTCTGCCATTTAAAACATTTTACACAGGAACATTATTCGTAAGTACCCGTCTATACTTTAAATAAACCACTGTATTCATGTTGAGAACAGTTTGAGTTAATGTCAATATAACACTTTTAATTCTTTATATCTACAAAGCAATTTATGTGTCATGCAAAACAAATAGGGTAATTAACACCCAGAGAAAGAATTAGTCTTTTCTAATTATTTTTACAGTTCAAACTAGAGTCAGGACAGTAAGATGACTATCACAGACTAAAAGTTATAAAGACAAAACCTGAACCATTAAGTACTATGCTAAATGACAGAAACCTAAGTACTGCAGAGAAACAAGAGGCATACTACTCTCCATATATATATGTGCCTTGCTCTCTAAAGCATAGTAATTTTCCATCAGTAAAATAAAAGGGCTAGCTACAAGACCTCTACCAGCTCCATGACACAATGATCAAGAGGAGCATCCAAAAGAACCTTCACTCCCAGGCAATAAGCTAGGTTTACTATTCAAGTAAAAGCAGCCACAATCAATATTCTACCTTAAATGTAAAAACGGCAGACTGTAAAGAAATCTCAAGGACAATTAAATATCAATAGGAGATGACTTACCAGTTACTAATTTTTCAACATGCCACTGTAAGAGAGATAGTTCTATAAAATCATCAATATTAGGAAGAGAAACAAGGATTTCTTACAAGGTAGCCATCATTCTCAACTGAACAACTGAAACAAAGGCCATGTGGAACAAAAATCATGGAATTTTCAACACACCAGGAAGCTAAGACCACAAGGAAGTAAGTATGAAATGAACTAAACTCTGAAAGGTGCTGGGTCTTTTCAAGGAGAGAAGAGACTCCTATCGCTTCTATTCTTGTCAAAGGAAGGTGTCCGCCACAATGTAAGGAAATTGTACACAGATTTAAGACTTTCATAAGCCAAGTGTAGTTTGGCTTAACAGTTCACAATCCCAAGACTATTTATCAATAACCAAATTAACAACTGCCTGCCAATGCTCTGGGTGATATATACCAAAAGCTAGTATCATTATCATACAGGGAGACAGAGACACCTCCGTAACCAAAAACTTAGACTTTGGTTGCAAGTGGGTGTAAAAGAACTTGTCTTTATCCATTCTTCATACCACTGCATTTCTAAATGCTCCAAACTTTCAAATACTAAAAACAAAGTAAGGAGAACTAAGAGGAATCCATCTAGATATTTGAGAACTGAGCAACCAATAGTGGAATGGCTCTCAGGAGACGCACAAGAAAACATACCTAGACCATCCAAGCTTTACCTAAGAAACAGACAATGGATTGAAAGAGATATCCAAGCACAAAAAAAAGCCTAACTCTCGAGCAGCTAGATAAGAAAGCTTAGAGACACTTATCACCCACATTTCCAAAGCTGCCACATGAGCTGTCAAGAAAATGTCACTCTCTCTGCAATCTACCCAAGCTTACATCCCAGACCTTATTGAGGGGAAAGCTAAGGATTCAAACTCAAAGCACCTGAAACCAGTAGTGATTTGACTCTACCACCAAAAGAAACTCATTATGATCTGGCTCTAGCTGAGAGCAAAACATCTCAGTAAACAAAAAGAAAATAAATACAAAGAACTCTATAGCAAGATACAACAGTGTCAAACCTCTGTGGAAAACACTGAGAGCACACACGAGCATTACAAAATGTTGCAGGATATTTGATCATACTATGATTTGTATTATTTAAATAAAATCAACCATAGGTCAAGAGGCAGAGTCAGCAACCGGTTGACTGGAAGTAACCATAGAGAGTGAGGGTAAGTCGGGAGGTCAGAGAGAGAGAGGGGCACAGGAGGTAGAAGGGAGGGACATCTGATTGGAGGAATTTTGTTTCAGACAATGTATGAGAGGATTCAGTCTAAGATAATGGCAGAAGAGGAAAGTCAGCCTGCTGCTGTCTCTGACTCTCTGAGCTAGCAGGTTTTCACCCCAGCATCTGGCTCCAGACTCTTTACTGGTAAAATAAAAGACAGAGATTTAGTTAAAACATTTGCCTATCTCACAGCAGCAGTGGCAGCAATGGCTGTGGAGACATGGTCATCAGCTGAGGTAGCAATAGGATCAGGTGCAGCAGCTCTGCCTCAGATACAAAACAACAAAGTGGGGAAAAACAACCAATTCCTAACTTCCCATTATAAAGAATTCATCCCAGAAGAAAGTAAAATCCTATGAACAAAATACTGAGATGAGTCATATTGCAGTCTGTAACTACAGAACACATTCCTCAGTATGAAAATAAAGTTGACCCGAGATCCCTATGTGAAAGCATTTATTATTAGTAGACTCAGTGGGAAAATAGTGAAAGAAATGATTCATTCCATACATGATAAAGCCAGACACGAAGCCAAAAAAGTAAAAGCATTTAAGAGAGAAAATACAGAGATAGAAACCTTCTCACTTGAAAATATACAAGAGAAAAACTTCAAACTACTATTACATTATACATAATGCACAAATTATTTTAAGACTCCAGAGTATTTAAAGCAAAATTAAAATATTATAAAGAACTTATATTTCTACTAGATATGAGAATTTTTTTAACAACAGAAGGACAATGGACAGAATAGGTAAGTATAATTGTATACTGACAAGTCCTTACACTGTTATAAAGTGTCATTATTTCAGACTATGACAACTAAAGACATGGTGCAACAGCTAAAGGAGCAACCACTTAAAAAGACAGCCCAGCCCGGACAAGACTGATAAAAGCAAAGTAGAAAACATGGATGCTAAAGAGAACACACTTTACCACAAATACAACAAAGGAGCTGTACAGAATAGTCCCTCCCCCCAGAAAAGTAAGAGATTAAAGCTAACCAAATTAGTAATTGCATTAAATAAGATAAAAGTCAGCTACATGAATTAAACATTCTGGGCTTTCAATAACTAAACACAGGAAGTAGGGCAAAAGAATTCCTGAAACTCAGGTTGTTCAGCTACCAAGGCCTTGAGGTTCTCATCCAAACTCAGAGAAAAGCATTTGGAGAGGTTCCAGGCTTTGAAACTGGCCAGGGAAAGCAGCAGGTCCAAGTCTTCCTCTGAATAATACTATGAAATGAACACTGTATCTGCCCCAAACTCCTGTGTTGAAACTCTACTCCCCAGTGTGCTGGGATTTTGTAACCTTCCTGAAGGTTCTTAGCTCATGAGGGTGGAGCCTTCCTGATTGGCCATTAGACACTGGGCTTGCTCTAGTCTCCCTGCCTGCTGAGGCCAGAAGAGAGTGCTGGATCTCCAGGAGCTATATGCAGGTATTTTTTTTTTCATTTGTTTAATATTTTCCTGATTTTTTCTTAGGTTTTGCAAATCATAAACCAACAGATGTGTCAGATGTGAATTATGAACAAAAATTCAAATATTTAGGAAACTAACATCATAGAACACTTACAATAACTTTTTCTTACATTCTGTAATTATTTATGCTCTAAATTGTTTTATAAAGGCCACCTAGAGAGACAAAAGATCTGGTATGTGGATTTGGTCACTAAGACCTTAGATAATAGCAATTATAGTTAAGAACTGAAATATATATGTGTGTAATACATAAATACATAATCACCAAGGGGTACAACTTAAATGGACTTTCTAATCACTGAGTACTTCCTATCAAATATTCAATGATTTGTGTAACATCAGAAAATGATCACGTGTATGTTTCAGTGCAGTTTTGAGCTGATCCTCCACAACAGTAACATGTGCTCTTACCAGCTGAGCACGCTCCACCTCCACTGTGAAGGCTTGCTGTCTGCACCCTTACCTGGTCGCTCATTTGTTACGATCTTACATCATTCTCCTACCCTCCCCTGTACTCTATTATCTTCCATACTGATACTAAAAATACTAACAAGATTCTATTATCTTTGCTCTGTCTTTTCATTATCTATTAACTGATTCCACTGCTTTTCTTTTTCTAATTTTTGCATGCTGATGGCTCCTAAATCTACCTGAGCTTGTGCAGTTGCCTCTCACTGTGCATGGGGGATTTGTTGAAGTACTCTCCTCATAACCTAAATCTGATCATGCTCTCCTCTCTTATCTAAAATACGACTGTGTTTGAACATAACTTGCACACATCCTCCTGCTACACACTACCTCTCATACTTAATACATCCTAAGTGCTACAGAGTGGCTTTACTATATCCTTAGAAAACGGGGAAAAACCAACAGCAGCATTCAAGGACAGCAAGCACACGACTATGGAAGAACAACATATGAAACCCTGAAATGCAATTTCAACAGTAAATCACAGGGTACCTCAAACTCTTGGAAAATTCCTTTAAAAAATCAATAACTTGCGGGGCGGTGGCGGCGCCCAGCACTCGGGAGGCAGAGGCAGGCGGATCTCTGTGAGTTCGAGGCTGGGCTGGACCGATAGCCTCCAAAACAATACAGAGAAACCCTGTCTCGTAAAAACCAAAAAAAAAAAAAAAATCAATAACTTAAACTAGAACTGACTGCATTAAGTATCTAAGAGCCATTTATTTTAATAGTTAACAGGCATGAACCAGTAGCTTTAATGGAAAAACTATTCTATGACAGAAGGAAGGATTTAGACTGGGAAAGAAAGGGAAGAACAATTATTCTCATGGGCCAGTAACAGGCTTTTTTGCAAATGCGTTCTTGAAATTTCCTTAGTTAAAAAAAAAAAAAACAACAAAACCCACTGCTACTTTACAAAAATCATGGTTTAAGAACTTTATTAGGAACATAGTCCTCATTTTCATTTTAGCTTTATTTTGTGTATGTGTGTGGTGGATTCATACGTGTGTCATACATGTGCACATACAAAGGTACTTGTGAACATACATACTCATGGAGGCCAAAGTCAGAAGTCAGACACTGAAGTCGGTCATTTCTCTGCCTCATTTTGTGAGATGGGGTCTCTCACTGAACCCAGAGTTCACTGACTTGGCTAAACTGGCTGGTTTGGCTGGCCAGTGAGTCCCAGGGTTCTCTTGCTTCTACCACCCCCGTGTTGGTATAACAAAAGTACACTACCACAGCTGGACTTTTTACATGGGTGACAGGAATCTGAATTCAAGTGCTCATCCCTAAACAGAAAGCAAGCAATTTACTAACTGGACCATCTCTCCATCCCCTCATCTTATTTAAACTTTACACTTTACAGTATCTATTATAGAGACTTGGTGAAATCCTACAATGGGTTGATTTCTTTTTACTGACTTAAAATGATACCACACTAAATCTTAATGTGTCATTTTTAAAGTGTCCAATAAAGTTAATTGTTAAGCAAAAGATATGAAGAAATAGTAGCACAATACTAAAAGAATAAACAGTATTCATTCATTTTATTTTTTAAATGGGTTATAGGAGCCAAAAAACATGAAAAATCTCACAGAATTAATTTTCCTTAGGAAAAACATTATATTTATCTCAAAAATAAAAAGGTTCTCTTTACATTATCCTTAACTGAGACTGTATCTCTTACCAAATCATGAAGTAGAAGCCAGACAGACTGATTTGTAAACAAAACAAATCTGATCTTTTTCATGGAAATGATTTAACACTTCCAAAGGATCACTAAACCAGCGTTGCTACTGAATCCATCAAGTATTCATGCAAAGTTTGGCCATTTGAGAAAAGAAAATAATTTTAATTGCTGATATCTCACAATTTTATATGTAAAGCTAATTATAATTTGTATAGAAGGAGACTTAGTCTACAAATTTCTCATATTCACTGCATTGGTCTGTGTCTTAGTCACTCATCATTCTATTGCTGTGAAGAGACACCATGACCATGCCAAATGTTATAAAGGAAAACATTTAACTGGGGCTGGCTTAGTGTTTCAGAGGTTTGGCCCATTATAATCACAGCAGGAAGTATGGTGGCATGTAGTCAAACATGGTGCATACAACATGCATGCAAACATCTGCATCTAGATTGGAAAACAACAGGCAAACACTGGGCCTGGCTTGAACATTTGAAACCCCAAAGCCCATCCCCAGTGACTTACTTCCTCCAACAGGGCCACACCTTCTAATCCCTGCCAAGAAGTACCACTCCCTAAGGGCCAAACATTCCAATATATGAGTCTAAGGGGACCATTCCTATTCAAACCACATGCAACATGCAGAAATGCATTCAATCCAACTTCAAAAGTCTCCACAATCTAACATGATCTCAACAATGCTTAAAGTCCAAAGTTCTAAGTCTCTTATGATATTCATGCAATCTCTTAATTCTAACCCCTATAAAATAAAAATAAAAAAGCAAATCACATACTTCTAACATAAATGACACAGAATATATATTACCATTCCAAAAGGAAGGGAAGGAAGCAATGAAAAAATACTGGACCAAAGCAAAACCAAAAACCAGCAGAGCAAACTCCAAACTCAGCATCTCCATGTCTGATGTCAAAATGCTCTTCAGATCTTAACTCCTTTCAGCTTTGCTGACTACAACTCCACTTCCCATTAGCAGCTTTCCTGGGCAAGTATCCCATGACTTGACCATCTCCAACATCTTGAGATCCCCAAAGAGAATCCAGGATTCATCTTCACAGCTTCATTCAAAGGCCTCTCCAGGTCTCCATAAAGGGTCATCACCGACACACATCTGACCTTGGTGGCTTTCCTTAGTCTCGGAGGGAAATTCCATAACCCCTTACTTCCATCCTTGACTCTAAAACCAGAAGCTGCCAAGTTCTGCTGCTTGTTGGGGCTGAACACAGCTCTCTCATTCAAATACATTTTTACCAGCTTTCTGTTTTCAATGGCTTCCTTTCATTGCTTAAGCTTGGCTGTCCCGGAACTCCATAGACCAGACTGACCTTGAACTCACAAACCCACCTGCCTCTGCCTCCCAAGTGCTGGGATTAAAGGTGTGTGCTGCCACACCTGTCACCAATTTCTTTCTAATTCCTTTTCACAAGTTGGAAGCTCAGCTGTGTGGGGTCTTACCCTGAGATCACTACTCCCTTTATTCGATTTAACATCAGGCTTTTCTTCCATCTGTTTATCTACTTGAACACAGCATAAAGCTCCATTACACTTTCTAGTGCCTCTTTTCTCCTCAAACTGTACATCTGATATTTTCCCTTGCTCTCCTTGCTCCTTTTCATTACAGATCTGATAAGACTGACTACTAACACCACTGGAGCAACACTCTTCAATTTAGCATCTGGCAGACTTCTCACACTAGGGCAAAAAGCTGCCATATTCTTCACCCAACTATCAAAAGAATGATCTCTAGGCCACTTACTAATATTCTCCTCTGAAACCTCTTGAGGCAGACCATAAAATAATCTACATTACTCTCAGCATCACTGTCTTCCCTACTCAGACTAGTAAGGCCCTTTTAAGTCCCACTTAAAGCCTTCCCCTGCTTTCCTAATCCAAAGTCCCAAAGTCCAAATTCTGTCAACAAGAAGCAGGGTCTGGCTTGTCACAGCAATAACCTACTCCTGGTACCAATCTCTGTCTTAGACAATGGTCTTTTGCTGTGAAGAGACACCATGACCATGCCAACTCTTATAAAAGCAAGCATTTAAATGGGGCTTGCTTCCAGTTCAGAAGTTTAGTCTATTGTCATCATTTGGGAAGTGTGGTGGCATGCTAGAGAGTAGCCAAGAGTTCTACATCTAGATCAGAAGGCAGAAGGAAGAAACAAACACTAATCCCTGCCAAGTAGGGCCACTCTCTAATGACCAAGCATTCAAGTAAACAAGCCTATGGATGCTACTGAAACCACCACAGTCTGCTTAAGTTAGTAAATTCAGGACCTAGCTTTTCCAATAATAGTATCCGTCCACTACTGATTCCATTAGCTAAAGGAATAAGTTTGCTTGATATCACTGTGTTAAATACAGACTCAATACCTTAAGTGCTTTTAATGTAAATATTCTAAAGAAACAGTACCATAATTTCTATAATCAGAATGATATTAAAATGCAAATTGTGTATTTGACCTCAGTGAACAGATCTCTACAAACTAAAACTGGTGATCCTGGAAGCCTGAGAGACATATCTTCAAAAAGAAAACGATGTGACAAAAAAGCTGGACCATGAACCCTATTACAAAACTTCATCAACCTTTGTCGTGTCAAAAGTATTAATATTCCTTAGGGTCAATTTCTAATAAGCATTCTGATGATGTCAAGTAAGGTAAACTTAAGTATGAAGGACTACCAAATATGTTTCACTATTAAAAGCAAAACACCTATATTTTACACAGGATTGATGGTAGGAGCTCTCTTTGGTGGTGGTCTTGTTTGTTTGTTGTTCTG